AAGGGCTGGGAGAGGAGGGACTCGAGGTCACGACGAGGGACTTTAGAGGAGACACGGTTTATACGTTCAACGGCGTAAAAGATAGAGATGACTGTTTTCTCAGAATGGCTGTGGGGGTGGATAAGAAGTGGGATATTGAACAATAAGTGCTTTGTTTATCGTTTGCAGTTTCGTGCTTTCTTGAATGAGTTTAGTTTTGTTACAGTTATAGATATCTTATTAGGTGGCTTTGGTCTTCCTGATGTATATGTTCATGCATGCTCTCATGGACAATGGGATTGAAATGGATTTCAGCAAGCTTGGGTTTTTGCCTGCTTCGGCGTTAGCGTCGTTAACAACTTTGGAGAGCATCTCGATCATTTGTTCCACGACCATCACTTCCTTCCTTGGCAGCAGAATGGAAACCGCCACTAATCCACTCGTGCGTCATTTGCTACGAATGTTCTTTTCTGATAGTGTGCGTTAGAGCGACCCCATGCAGGCTCCCGCCGCCCCAGTACCTTCCCCAATCGCACCTCCCCCATCCCCTCCCGTCCGTCAGGCCTCCCATGCCTTCGCTTCGTTCTCTTCCATCACAGGCGGCACTTCTTCGCCTTACATCACTTCGGCCGGATACAATCCAGCGAGATACGAAGACACAAATCGTATGTTCTTTTCTCTTACTTTGCTATCGAAGGGTGATGTGGCTGTTTTTGGATCGGCTCAGGAGCTCAGGGCCAGCAACCTGCGGCTCCACAAGGGAGGAGCCAGACGCTAGAAGAGATGTATTCCGTCCCAGAGAACTACCTCGAGATCGAAGTCCGTGACCCAAGGACACATGGTCGGTCCTCACCACTCTTTAAAACACCTCCACTCACTATCTACATACAGAGTTTGGTCGCAAGATGTATACTGATTACGAGATCATGTGCCGCGTTCGTCTTCTCACCTCAGTGTCCTCCCCGTCTCTCTGGCTAAGTGAGGTTGCAGACAAACATCCCTGCCTTCCGCGTCAAGTACTCCTCAGTCCGCCGCCGCTACTCCGACTTTGAAGCATTCCGCGATATTCTGGAGAGGGAATCGACGAGGGTGAACATCCCTCCTCTCCCCGGAAAGGTGTTCACAAATCGGTGAGTTTTGCCTTGTTCTAGAGAGATGGAGTTGATGTGTCGTCGCACGCAAGTTTTACGGATGAGGTGATTGAGAGCCGAAGAGAAGGCTTAGAGAGATTCTTACAGATCGTTGCGGGCCATCCTCTCCTTCAGGTGAGTTTTTTTCTTGACACGCAGTAGGATGGACGGTGATGCGTTTGGGGAAAGACCGGATCCAAAGTGCTTTGCGCATTCTTGCAAGATCCTAGTTGGGACAAACATTCATACTACTGAACTCACTCCCCTAGCTCTCGTCAGAAATGACAAACAGCTCCTCGGCGCGGTCCGACGTCTCCTCTCGTCTCAAGCCCTCCAGTTCAACAAATGACTCGACGTTTCTCATTCTGTTTCTACGTTGGTTCCTTTATCTACTATATTAGGGTTCGAACTTGCCCTCTCAAACTACACTGTATATTATCAAGGCGACAGTTAAACGTTTGTATGCCGGAATGTGATTTGTATGCAATTTCACAAGATTATCACTCTCATCGAAAGAAGACTGCTGCAGCTTTCTTATGGAGTATCTTGTGGACGACAGCGAGCTCTCTAAGCGTTTGCTATCTCAGCCTCTGAAACAGACATTGTTGATGGGAGGAGGCGACTTTCCCTTGCTGAAAAGTCCCAAAATATCGGAGCTTCCAACTGCCAAAGCACGACCATGACCATTCCGCGCAGACGATAGCAGCATGGGTATTCTGCGGTCTCATACCTATTTCACCCCCAAGCGAATCCTAATCTGCGCTATCCTTTCTCTCCTCCTCGTTTCCCTGGCTTCGTTCGCCTACCTCTTCCCTCTACCATTCGCGATCCACTTTCCAAGTTCCACGCTCACCGTTTTCGAGCACACGACTGCTAGCTTTACTACGAAGGATGGAGTGACTTATGTTGGGAATAGAGACTGGAAGCTGGACGTAGAGTTTTATTTGGGCATTCAATATGCAAAAGTGGAGCGGTTCAAAGCGCCTTTGCCAGCTGAAGAACCTGTGAAGCAAAATGAGGTGAACGAAACCGTAAGAATTCATACTTCTTATGGTCCACCATGTGCGGGTTTGGTGGGAACTCCAAAGGAGGACTGTTTGACGTTCGTTTCTTGCTTGCTCCTTTGCTTTCTTTGAGTTGGCGGTCGTGCATCTGGGTGTAGACTCGACGTGATACGCCCCGCGATAGCAGAAGACTCAGAGCTCTTACCAGTGCTTGTCTGGTGCGCTTTATCGTTCCTTTCTTGTGAAGTCCGTACCGAATTGTCGACAGGTTTGACGACGTAGCTTTCATGTCTACTAAGCGGAAAGCGCACTATCCTGCTCGCTTGGTGCAAAAATCCGTCGAGGTCAACTTACCAACTATCCTAGTGACCTTGAAGTATGACCCAGCTCCGTTCCACAGCCAGAGTGCTTAATCTAAATCGGCACAGTTACCGTCTCGGAGCAAATGGTTATTTTGTTTTCGGAGGAATGCCAAATGAGCACCTCAGTATGGGACTGAAGGATCAACGTGCTGCGTTAAGGTACGCAGCTAGTTACAGTACTTCTAAGGCTAACTAGTGACCAAGGTGGTTGAAGAATCACATAGCAGAATTTGGTGGAGATCCTGAGAAGGTGACTTTCCTTTCTGTCTTTGTGCTGTCCTTACCGCTATCTGCAGATAACTGTCATTGGTCAAGATTCTGGGGCAGCAAGCATAGGTCACCACCTCCTCTTCTCAGAAGACGAGCAATTGTTTCGAGCTGGTGCGAATACTCTTCACTTCGCTCCTCAGCTGATTATGTATTATCAGCAATTATGCAATCTGGCTATCCTACCTCCTTCCCCACAAACACATGGCTCGACACCGTCCTTCGTTCATCCAACCTCCTCGGTGTAAGGGTAGGGTGTGAGCATGTTGAGCCTTGGTTGGATTGTGTGAACGATGCTTCGTTCGACGTGCTACTCGGTGCATCGAATAGTATGTACGAGGGAGGTCTGGGCATTCCTTGGTACTCGAATATTGACGAGCAATGGATTACGGAACGACCCAGCGTTAGGATGAAAAGAGACGGGAGCTGGAAGGCAGTGCCTGTGCTTTGTGGTTGTGAGTAATTCAACTCAGCCGCTCTGTTCACATCCAACTTTTATCCAGCTTTATTCCGAGAGTCGACACAATATATTTTGCCAACTGTTGGTTCACCGGAGGCGCTGAAAGCTGAGCTATCCAAATTCGTCACATTGGGTCGAGAGACAGATCCGCTAGCATCAATCTTTGATCAACTCCATTCGCTTTATTCCAAAAACTCCAGTTCTCTTCAAGAGGAATTGAGATCTCTTGTGGCTGACATTACCGTCCATGCACCGCGTCGTATGTTCATGCAATTTGTTGAGAATGCATGGGGATATCTCCTCTCTGAGGAGGATGGGAGCGATGGCGACCTGACGTGGCTTGATCCTGAGGCACGGAAGAAATGGCCGATGCTCAGTGACACGATGGCCAAGTACTTTTTGTGTGTAGCTTTCCTTGGTATGTCCCGGATTGACAGATTGGTGCAGGAGCTTTGTATATCATCTCGACCCTAATGGCTGGGAACACCGTCAGCACTCTTCCCTCCGAAGCTGAGTGAACTAAGTCTGATGGGGGATGGCAGAAACAACGGATACGTATTGGCCCCGCTATGGAGAGGCAGGAAACATGGTTTCACTCAAGGAGAATAACGTATCAGTCTTCAGTGACGATTTTCGAATAGAGGAACTGAGACTCATCAACGATAACAATGACTTGTTCAATCGTTAATAATCCCTGCTTGGACCCTGTACAGTGGTTGCTGTGAATTATTGTCAATGTGTCTGAAAACAAAGACCTAATTAGTTCAAACACCGGCTTTCCTCGATGAAACGAGTTGGTTTTGGCTATGTATCCACATCACCCTTCCAATGACCGCCTGCAGAGTGAAGGAGCAAACCGATGTATGCCGCAATCTCAATGCGTCGAAGCAGAGCTTTCTGATCATCTTGCTTCCGAGTTGCCATTGAAAGTTGAGGGCCAGGATTCACATTTCATGTCCACATCGCTTTATTGTGTCAGGAACCTGTTTAGTGTTCACAAGTGTGTTAACGGCCTTCGTCCCTCAGGCCCCTCACCCCACTTGCAAGGGGCATGGCCCCTTGAACCCTACTGTGGCCATTGTAAGGGTTCGAGTCCAGTACAAAACTCATTTTTCAACCCTTTCAGAATAAAATTTCCTTGTAGGTTCATAAAGGGGCAAGCATATGGGATATGATGGTGTAATACATTTCATTCCATTGTGTATGGTGAGGGAGGTGTGAGGGCTCAAAAGTGCGTCTTATGACTCATGCCAAGAACTGATGAATCTTAGAGTATAGGATGGGATCCTTTTTTCGTCGAAATAGAGCGGTTCAGCGATATAACCCTTAGCTAAACCTTATTGGGGGCACAGAAAAAGCCTTCAGTACTGCTTTGTCCTTTTTTCCCTGCCTATCTTTGGTGTTGAAGAGGTAGTGAGGAACGAAAGAACATTCCGTTGTTATCATACCATCCTGTACGTCCTTGCCGAAATAATGTGATAGGATGTATCACAGCTTCCAGGCTTGAGAACTTGGCTTCAAAGTAGATCGGTGAGTTGGAGCTGAGAATCAAATCGCAATGCGAGTTAGTGTGTAATGGTGTTGTATTCTGATGGCGTTTTGAAAGTGATGAAATGGATCGTTCAACCTGGAAGTTGGCCAAGGTGGAATTTACCTAAGGCCAGGCTTGACAATTCGACATTTGGCGCTTCTTTTCATCATCAGCAAGATAAATACTGAACTTCTTGTGTTGAGAAGCAATGGGCTGCTCACTCATTATCAAATATTACACTAATGTCCGTCCACGGCAACATGTGTGGGGGTTGTAGCTCATCGGTAGAGCGTTCGCTTAGCATCCGCTCGCCTGCGAAAGGTACTGGGTTCGATACCCAGCTACTCCACTTTTTCTATTCTGTTTTTCCAGTTTTTACCCTTTGTGCATGTAACTGAACACACTCCACCTCAATGCCGTGGGGTTCTGCACAAGAATTTCACTGATTTTCTCGTCGTGGGGCATCACTATTTCAAATTGTCGTTTCCTACCTTTTTGAACTTCAGCAATCTTGCCAGAGTGACCAGAGCTATCTTTACGTGTGGCTCCATCATGTCTATTGCTTCACGGTTTGCAACTCACGGAAAAAAGGTACGTTTCTTTCTCCCGGTCGCGCTCTCCTTTAACGTTTCTGCAGATTGTAGCCATAGGGAGGTGTGTCTCTGCTCCCAAACCTCACCTCCTCTCTCCTGTCCACGATGAACAACCAACACCTGAATGCCTGAGCATTGATCTCTGATACGACGCTGCATTGTTGGATTGTTGGGTATGAAGGAACTATGCCGAACACATCAAAGAGTTGAACAACACCACTCCTCCAGAACCCTTCTTCTTCCTCAAACCCACGACTTCCTACGTCACTCCAGAGCAAAAACAAGTGATTGAGATACCTCGAGGTGTGGACGTGCACCACGAAGGTTCGCTCCCCCTTTCCACGCTTACTATTTTCCTAATTTTGATTTTTGTTTTTCATTGGTCCAGTCGAGCTCGGAGTGGTCATCTCCAAACTGGGACGCGACATTCCAGTCTCCGAAGCATTCTCCTTCGTCGCAGGGTACACTCTAGCGATCGACGTGACCGCACGGAACATCCAGAACCACGTGAAAGGGAAAGGACTGCCGTGGACGACGTCGAAGGGGTTCGACAGCTTCTGTCCGATCTCCCGTTTCATCCCTAGGGACGAGGTGAAGGATCCGTACGACCTTCAGCTTTGGTTGAAGGTGAATGAGGAGATGAGACAGAGGGAGAGGACGAATTTGATGTTGTGGAAGATCCCGGAACTCATCCATCATGTGAGAGGATACGTATTGGCCCCGCTATGGAGAGGCAGGAAACATGGTCTCACTCAAGGAGAATAACGTATCAGTCTTCAGTGACGATTTTCGAATAGAGGAACTGAGACTCATCAACGATAACAATGACTTGTTCAATCGTTAATAATCCCTGCTTGGACCCTGTACAGTGGTTGCTGTGAATTATTGTCAATGTGTCTGAAAACAAAGACCTAATTAGTTCAAACACCGGCTTTCCTCGATGAAACGAGTTGGTTTTGGCTATGTATCCACATCACCCTTCCAATGACCGCCTGCAGAGTGAAGGAGCAAACCGATGTATGCCGCAATCTCAATGCGTCGAAGCAGAGCTTTCTGATCATCTTGCTTCCGAGTTGCCATTGAAAGTTGAGGGCCAGGATTCACATTTCATGTCCACATCGCTTTATTGTGTCAGGAACCTGTTTAGTGTTCACAAGTGTGTTAACGGCCTTCGTCCCTCAGGCCCCTCACCCCACTTGCAAGGGGCATGGCCCCTTGAACCCTACTGTGGCCATTGTAAGGGTTCGAGTCCAGTACAAAACTCATTTTTCAACCCTTTCAGAATAAAATTTCCTTGTAGGTTCATAAAGGGGCAAGCATATGGGATATGATGGTGTAATACATTTCATTCCATTGTGTATGGTGAGGGAGGTGTGAGGGCTCAAAAGTGCGTCTTATGACTCATGCCAAGAACTGATGAATCTTAGAGTATAGGATGGGATCCTTTTTTCGTCGAAATAGAGCGGTTCAGCGATATAACCCTTAGCTAAACCTTATTGGGGGCACAGAAAAAGCCTTCAGTACTGCTTTGTCCTTTTTTCCCTGCCTATCTTTGGTGTTGAAGAGGTAGTGAGGAACGAAAGAACATTCCGTTGTTATCATACCATCCTGTACGTCCTTGCCGAAATAATGTGATAGGATGTATCACAGCTTCCAGGCTTGAGAACTTGGCTTCAAAGTAGATCGGTGAGTTGGAGCTGAGAATCAAATCGCAATGCGAGTTAGTGTGTAATGGTGTTGTATTCTGATGGCGTTTTGAAAGTGATGAAATGGATCGTTCAACCTGGAAGTTGGCCAAGGTGGAATTAACCCAAGGCCAGGCTTGACAATTCGACATTTGGCGCTTCTTTTCATCATCAGCAAGATAAATACTGAACTTCTTGTGTTGAGAAGCAATGGGCTGCTCACTCATTATCAAATATTACACTAATGTCCGTCCACGGCAACATGTGTGGGGGTTGTAGCTCATCGGTAGAGCGTTCGCTTAGCATCCGCTCGCCTGCGAAAGGTACTGGGTTCGATACCCAGCTACTCCACTTTTTCTATTCTGTTTTTCCAGTTTTTACCCTTTGTGCATGTAACTGAACACACTCCACCTCAATGCCGTGGGGTTCTGCACAAGAATTTCACTGATTTTCTCGTCGTGGGGCATCACTATTTCAAATTGTCGTTTCCTACCTTTTTGAACTTCAGCAATCTTGCCAGAGTGACCAGAGCTATCTTTACGTGTGGCTCCATCATGTCTATTGCTTCACGGTTTGCAACTCACGGAAAAAAGGTACGTTTCTTTCTCCCGGTCGCGCTCTCCTTTAACGTTTCTGCAGATTGTAGCCATAGGGAGGTGTGTCTCTGCTCCCAAACCTCACCTCCTCTCTCCTGTCCACGATGAACAACCAACACCTGAATGCCTGAGCATTGATCTCTGATACGACGCTGCATTGTTGGATTGTTGGGTATGAAGGAACTATGCCGAACACATCAAAGAGTTGAACAACACCACTCCTCCAGAACCCTTCTTCTTCCTCAAACCCACGACTTCCTACGTCACTCCAGAGCAAAAACAAGTGATTGAGATACCTCGAGGTGTGGACGTGCACCACGAAGGTTCGCTCCCCCTTTCCACGCTTACTATTTTCCTAATTTTGATTTTTGTTTTTCATTGGTCCAGTCGAGCTCGGAGTGGTCATCTCCAAACTGGGACGCGACATTCCAGTCTCCGAAGCATTCTCCTTCGTCGCAGGGTACACTCTAGCGATCGACGTGACCGCACGGAACATCCAGAACCACGTGAAAGGGAAAGGACTGCCGTGGACGACGTCGAAGGGGTTCGACAGCTTCTGTCCGATCTCCCGTTTCATCCCTAGGGACGAGGTGAAGGATCCGTACGACCTTCAGCTTTGGTTGAAGGTGAATGAGGAGATGAGACAGAGGGAGAGGACGAATTTGATGTTGTGGAAGATCCCGGAACTCATCCATCATGTGAGCGGGATCATGACGTTGGAAGAGGGCGACTTCATCCTCACTGGTATGTTTTACTCTTGCTCAGCGCAAGGAGATGAGGTTAACTTGGTGTGCTGGGAAAGGTACGCCCGCTGGAGTTGGACCGGTGAAGGCGGGTGATAAGGTGTTTGCTGGCTTGGTGCAGGATGGAACGGAATTGGCGAGACTCGACCTCGTCGCGAAAGCGAGGCTTGGTGGATATCAGTTCACTGGCAAATAGTGCCGCTGAAATTGCAGATGTGTAGATTAACAGATCAATATAGACCTTAGATTGGGCTCTGTGTCCATGCTGTTCACGAAATGACATTCATTCTGCAGGGACTCTCGAATGAGTTCTGCTATTCATGAGGTATTTAATGTGCCGGATTATGGAGGACACACTGGATTAAGCGTCGGTATGACATGAAATTACGAAGATGATAATCCTTTACCAAAGTACTGCCATCAAAGGTCCGAATAGCTGCATTCCATAGTTCAGTAATGCACTCTTCCACGAGAAGATGTAGAAGATGTCGTACAGGAGAAAAGTTAGAAGCCTTTCTCCTCCAGCCACTTCTTGACCTCATCCACCCTCTTCCCCTCGATTTTGATGATCATGCTGGGCTCCTTTAGACGGACTGTCCAATCAGGAAAAGAAGCGCGTAAGTCGTAGAGCATTTTCTACCACACACACACACGTATATCAGCTTTGTTAGTGGACTGGCAAAGAAAAACAAACAAAGGGCGATCCCTGTATCTTTCGAATCAAGGTAAACTTCTTATTATCAATCCTCCTCCTATCCGAATAGACGGGCAACATTCCACTATTCTCTATCCTCCCCACACTATACCCCCACTGCACACCGCCCTTTGGCTGATGGCTAGGGTTCAAAAACAGTCCACCATTCCTACTCCACTTCTCAACCAACGCCTCCCTCGCCTTCTCCAGCCTCGGACTCTCCTCCAACCTCCGCTGGGACGTGAACCTCGCGAAGGGCTCCGAGGCGAGCTTGAGCTCCGGAGGAGGAGAGGGGGCGATCTTGCGCGGTTTGGAACCTCCTTGCCAGGAGGAGAGGATGGTGTTCTCGTGTCGACGGAGGTGGAGGATGCGGGAGTGGGTGTTGTTGGAGGAGTGCTGCTTGAAGGAGGCGGGGTGCGGACGGGGGAACTTGACGCGGGGCATTGCTGTGTCGGTCGTGGGGGGGTATGCTAGGAGAGGGAGAGGGAAGCAGAGAAGAAAGTTGCAATGGAGGAAATTTGTTGCACGAGGAACATCGGAAGAACCCGACGTACGGACAGCGTACGAACAGCTGACTTTTATGCGTCCTGCAAATAAGATTGTCAGCGAGCGAGCAACAGGAGCATGGCACCGTCAACTCCACCCAAGTCCAAACCGGGCAAGTCGCTCGAACAGTACGCGCTCGACGTCATCTCCTCCCCTTTCGGCGGCGACAGCAATGCGAACGGCTCCGCCCCCAGCACGTCGGTGAAGAACCTCTCCGCGCTCCTCATCTCGCACGGGTTCATCTCCCGCCCGTTCTCCCTGTCGACTCTGGACGAGGCGGAGATAGAGCGGATCGTACGCTGCTTCTGGGCGGTATTGGGTGCACGCGCCGTACGTTGTTTCGTTTCGCTCCCTGTTTGCAATGTTGGAAAAGAAGTGGTTGAGAGGTTTGTGGTTTGTGAATAAGGACGCGTTGAGCTCGCTTTCGACGTTGACGAGCGCACACCAAGTCTTGAATTACGACCTGTCGCGCTCCCAAACCCTCTTGCACCA